GGTCACCCACATGCATCGAGAATAGTCCAATACTTGGTAGAAGGAATGAAGCTACCCTAGAAAAATCATCAAATGTAAATCGGTCAAGTGGTTGCTGAGATATAAGCCTCGCAAAAGCGTAACCACGGCCGGCCGGCCGCTCATACTCAGAAATTTCCGTTAATCTACGAAAGACTACGCTTGCTTCGCTCGCTACGTAATAATTTCTTCAGACTAACAATGCCTCAGCCATATTGGCACGCTACTGACTGAAAATAAGTTGCTTAAAAAGACCCACTGAATCGCCACGATTTTAAGTGCATGTCATCTCTATGTATATAAGATCTCTATGGGCATACCGCCGCCTGCTCGCGGTACCGGCACCGCGACCGGCCGGCCGGCTCCGGCGCTCTCCACAGCATAGCTCCCCGCTCTCCCCGGCATAGCTCCCCGCTCCGCACTCTGCCTCACTCGACAATGGATCGCACTCGCCAGTCGCACTTCCTGAATGCTCGAAAACATTCCCTTTTTGTCCCTAACAAATTAACAATGATAATGTTTACACTTTAAAGGTAGCCTGAAGCAATGCTTGTTCGGCATGCAACTGATTCACTTTATAGCAGATTCACGCCTAAGAAGCGCCCACACTTCTCGATGGGCGTCTTAGGTTAGGTAGGTATTTAGAAGTATAGCTATAGACCAGATAGAAATGACCGATATGACTGCGATCTGCCAGTCAGCTCATCACACACACACTCGTGAATGATAATCCCCACATGGAATGTCCCCTCACCGCGCCGCGGCGTGCGCCGTAATCTCCTCACGATAGGAGCGCGCGCCTCCCATCCTGATCCCGTTCTCACCTCTCACTCTCACCGCGCTCCTGGGATTCCTTTCTCACTCTGTCGGGACTCCTCTCTCTCTCTCTCTCTCGGCACGCGCGGCGCTATGATCCTCCATTCCCGAGGAGCAGCGCGTCGCCGTACCGGGCTTTCTCCGTCCGTCCCGATCGGACCTCTTTGTCCACCGCTGCTGAGCGATTACTACCCAACAGTGATGTTTATGGATACAGGAAGTGCGTTTCTGGCCTTCTGCGCCCGTGTTTCTTTGGGTCTGTTTGTTTCGAGGCTGTACCGGTGACGGAACATGTGTCTGCAGTCGCTCTCCCCTCTATTTATACATCCGTTCTCCGGTTTATTTCGGGCCTGCGCGGTTCGTCTTTTCTCCCTCCCAGACTTTCCAGGCGCTCACTAGAAACAGGCACGGAGCGACCAAAGAGGACGGGAGCTGTGGCCTAGTACGCGAACGTGCTGCGGAGTCTTTTCAGCGCCTCTTGTAGACTTTTTGTCACGTCATCTATCCGCCAAAACCCAAAAAATTGAACCAAACAACGGGACTAAAATTATCGGTGAGGAACCACATATTACGAATTTCTCACGCCCGCACGGTGCGTAAAGTTGTTCATACGAAACAAAGCACGGTCCCTATCGGTGACGACAGGTTGCACCAGCCACACAAAGGCCAAAGGTGCCGAGAGTGTACCATCACTCCAGGGCAAACAAGGCTACAGAATGGAGAGCGCCGCCCTTTGCTGGTCGATAGCGCTCCTTTATAGACCGTAAACTGAACAATATAAATCGCTGAAGAGGCGAGGGCACGCCTAGAAGCACTTATCAGACGTCTTACGGCGCCTATTTGAGAGCATTATCATCGGATTGCAAGAGTGTTGAGCTTTTCGTGCCGTGACCCCGGCCAGGTTGCGGTGTTACGACACTGACAGGTCGGTTGACACGGCACGAGGACACGTGTGAAGGCTGACACACATGACATCCATGACACAGCTCGAAAGGTCATCAGAAATGACCTGTTTCGTGTAGTTACAAGCTGTACACGACACGGTAGGAAAAATCAAGGGACTAAATCGAATTTCAGATTAGAGACGTAGCAAGTCAAGCTGGTTAGATGCATGCAGCGCAAGTTAGTTTCAGTAAGGAGCGAACGAGGACAGAAGAACATTTCTAAACTCAAGTGGGGGACACTGTCGTTCAGGTCTTCCCGCCGACCGAACTACCAAGTGGTCCGTCCACCTCGCCACATCGCCACACCTCGCCACACCGCGGTCTTGACGTTCCGTATGTCTTGGCGCGTTCGGCGTTCCTGTGTCCGCCCTAACGTGTCCCTGTGTCCGCGCCTTGCCCGCCCTAACTTAACCCTGTATCCGTTCTGTGTCCCGGTGTTCCTGTGGCCGTCCTGTGTCCACCCTAACATGTCCCTGTATCCTTCCTGTGTCCCTGTATCCGTTCTGTGTCCCGGTGTCCGTCCTGTGTCCCTGTGTCCGTCCTGTGTCCCTGTATCCGTCCCGGTGTCCCTGTATCCGTCCCTGTGTGTCCGTCCCCGGCTGGTGACCCGGTTTTTGTACCGTCGACAGTCGCGGCGCCGGCCGGCGGGCGAAGGCCGAATTCCTGTCGGCGCGGCGGCGCGTGTTTTGTTTATGATTGATCTGGTGGGAGCGGCCGGCCGGCCGGGCGTGTTTTGTGCCTCTGCTGCTGACCAGGCCGATCACGGAGCATGTGATGGTGACCGGCCAGCGCTGCAGCCGTGCACAGGGGTAAAAACGACTCCAGATCCTAATGGAGAAATGCATGTTTAAGTTATGCGCCGGGTAAAAAGAGGTGAGCTCTGGTGTGGGCGGGCATGCTTGGCAAAGCACTCTTGTTGCTGTTTAAAAATTGATGTCACTCAGTGCAGTAATGCGGCCTAAATCGCCTTACAGGAACGCCGCCCAAGTTGACCGCAATTGGGGCGTTAGCCGATAGTCGCCAGACCTTAGCGGACCAATAAAACCACCGAGGAATGCCATCGCTCCACTACGGAGCCAATAAAGCAGCTCATCAACAACAAACCGTCACCAGCTACGCGCGGATCGATCGGCCAATAACCACCGCCGGACCGTAACAGGACCATCGCCGGACCACTGCAGACCATCGCCGGACCACCACAGACCGCCACAGAGCACCACGGACCACGGCATCCCCACAGCCGGCCCGGGCCGGGCCGGGCCGCGGACCGTATCGGCCCACATTCCGGGCCGGGCGACCACGCCTTGTCGTCTCACGAGCCGAGCGGCGGCTCCCACACCGAGTGGACGGACTGGCTGGGGAGCTGGGTGGAGCAGAGTGCGGCTGGCGCAGCTCCCCGGTATAGGATGAGCCTCTGATGTGGATTGCTGCTACTAGATGGAGAAGGGATGAGGGAACGAGTTGAAAACAAGGTAAAACGAACCTACAATATCAAACAAAGACGGCACGGACGTTGATCATTGGTCAATCACTGGGTAGATACACCCACGATATAGACTCTCCAACAGCTGCACTAATATTAGGAGAACGATAGTGAACGGTATCCAGGCGTTGTTTACCGCACGCTACAGGAATGTTGTCCGTGACTCAGCTCCCCCTACACCTACGGAACTCACCACGGCGACAAGGAAACTGGAGCAGGAGGTTCCTGAGTGTGTGTGCTGAGAGAGCGATAGGGAAGGGAGAGCACCAACAGAGGGACGAGGGGGACCGGAAGTGCCAATCGGACCGGAACCGGATTCCAGCGACTCTCTGAAGTGTCACGCGGACACACAGAAACGAGAAACACCTCACGGGAAACGAGACGCGATTGATTGCGAGAACAATGGCGCAGAGACGAGGCGGAGGATAGAAATGCGTAAACCGGAAAACGAGGACAGGCACGCTGTGATCATTGCGTTACGCTTCAGCTGATTGCAACTGGCGTGCCGATCGGGCCCAGCCCGGACCAAGCCCACATCCGGTGCACAGCGGGTCGCGCCCAGCACACTTATTTCACCGGCCATACGTCATCACTGACCCGCACCCGTCCCGCACCCTTCCGCACCCGTACCCACCCAGAGCGGCCCAAATGGGGCGTCGGCGCGCCCAGCCTGCCCCGAATAAAGTGCTGGGCGCGCACGTGAATCATAGCACGACCGGAACAATAGTGAGCGTGTGCCGGCCTCTTGACCCCGCGTGACCCGGACGTACCGCCGGCTACAGAAAGGGCCGACCTCGCGGACCGAGACGAACGACATTCCAAGACGGCGGGAATTATCAGACAGTGGGACTCAAAGATCCGGAACTTCGCCTCGATAACGACAAAGTACGGAGTCGGGTAGGTGGGCTTTTCTGGAGAATCTGCAGTTAAGGATGGGTGTGAGGAACGTGACAGCGCGACATACCCGCCAGCTAATGTCACGGTGCCAGTGCATCAAAGGGCCTGCATGACTAATAAAACAGACGTGCTATCGGGTCCTCAGACAGAAATCGGTCAGTCCACACGGAAAGTGGACCGATCCACATTCCAGTGCGTTTTATCAGCACTAAAAATGCGTAGTCAGTGGGATCGGCTGCGAAGTTTAAGACTGCAATGCTCATTGGTAACTGGTCCTTAGCGCCAATGCCTGCGTCGACAGCCCAAGCCCCGCACCAGACTCGTCCGTATGTGACCTTTGAAACCGACGCAGGACCACACTGCCCCCTTCAGCCCCCTCCCCCCCCCCAGTGACACGTCAGCGGGTGACACCACCATGGTCACGGGTCGCTAAGTGACACCCCGTCCCCAGTCCCTACCCTCCCCGGCGAAGACAAGAATGCAACAAGTGGGGCCGGTCGGCCGGGCACCGGTACCGGTACCGGTGGCCGGAGCGGCGCGCCGGCCGACAGCCCGCTCGCCCACATTCCTAGCCGTAACAGGCCGGCCGGAGCGGGCGGCCGGGCAGCACGGGCGCCGGCCGGTCCACCGCCCAGCCGCGGCCGGGCTGTCTCAGCTCAGCGGCGCAGCACGAGCGGCGGGCACAGCCGACGGCGCAGCTCCGGCTGCCGACGTGCATCCGACGCAGCTCGGAACAATCGACCGCTCCCGGCGCGCCGCCATACCGCGGTCCTGCACAGCGACACGGAACGACACACAGGGCCCCTGCAACCCACCACCGCCCCTGCGCGCCCAGTACTCACTCGTATCTCATCTGTGCGTCTCTGTGCCGTCTGCTGTGTCGATGTCTTCAGTCCGCTATCCGCTGGCACTTCCTCACCCGTCGGCCGTCGCCACACGCCTGCCGCCGCGCCGCCGCCGCCGCCGCCGCCCAGCCGTCCTAATCAATGAACTATGCCTGGAATGCCGCGGTCACGTGACCGCCGCGGCGCTCTCTGATTGGCTGACGGCCAGATGCGCGGCCCGGCGCGGGCGGCAGGAATGCGTGGGTCAGAATATAGGCGCGCTGGTATTTAATCCGGGCACCGCGGCCCTGAGGGACGGAAGGGGGTGCAGGTGACGGGGGCAGGTGACAGGGGCGCGCACAAGGCGTGTGGAACGACTGGAATGGACGCTAGTCGGCGGACCGGGAGTCGGGGCGGACCGGGACCGGGCGGGTCGCGGGGACCACGGCGCGGCAGGGGACGTGCGCAGTAGTACTACGAAGGAACGGTACGAGGGGCACACTAGAGCGTGGTTGTGTGCCTCCCTTGAAATAACTTGGTCAATATTGAGCCATGCCTCCAACGCTAGACATCGCACCGTTCCTGATCCGATTGTAAGGAACCGGCGCTAGTAAACGTTCACTGAGCGCGAAGTAGTTCACTGAGCCGGTTGTAAAAGCAGCGTTAGTGTACGCCATACGGAAGTATGCACTGGCCCTTGTTCCATATGAATGTCATACCAGTGCTTCGGCCTTGGATCAAAGTAAAGTAAATGAAGCGGTTAATTATTCAAACTTCCTGCAATAAACCCTAATGATGGTGTCAGCGCATAAATAAATGACATTCTTACGGCATTTAACGATCAGCACACAACATTGCACATGTGACAACGGATACTGTCTCAGCACCGAGAGTTTATGATGGGAGTGTAAATGTGACCAATGCGAAAGTGCGCAACGCTTTACTGGCTACCGCGAGTCTAAATGAAGAGAAGAGAAAAAACTGGGCACCCAGCGCCACTGATACGCTCACGCCCCAATGAATCAGGTGATTAATGAGATGTTTGGTGACTAGAATGTCTAATAAAACATTTAAAAAATAGACATCTATTAATTACCGAGCTCATCAGTGAGCATCCGAACGCCCCTACATACATTAAAAATGCATTTCAATGCCTTTTACCCCTACATGTAAATACATTAAAAAATGCATTTCAATTGGATCGGAACTTAAAATCTAGGGTTCGAACGTCCTCTTTCTGTCGCACAAAACTATGCCCAAGATGACATGCTAAGTATCAGCTACCTGCGGGAAGGAATAAACCAAGCAGGTTTTCCTGTCTTCAACACGGTACGACCACACAAAGTTGGTATCCAGTTCTCTATTGACGTACAAATGGACAGTGAGTGGCCGCCACTGAGTTTCAGTGGGCTGGGGGTCGGCGGCTGAGGCGGCAGCGTCACTGAACGAAACTGCCGGAACTTACAACAGAAATGCCGTAATAAGATCAAACAACAGCGCAATGCATGTCGAGTCGACATTGTCCAGTTACGAATTCATAACGGATGCCGACAAAAGGCGGTCAGAACATACCAATCAAGATAGCAAATAGTGTATCAAACATTGGTCTGGTACGGGGTCCACCACGAATAGAAAGACATACATCGAAATGGGAAACATGTCTCGCGTACTAATAATATGCAGGGAGTTCAATAAAACTGATCTACCTCTAACTGTCCATCACAGAACGCCGAATGAAATGCACTTCCTCTCCGAAAGGAGACACAATACCGCGTTTACAAAGGGATTGTTGCAAGCTTATAGCTCCGCCCATGGTGTTGCAATAGATGCCAATGGTGCTTTACAATTTACAAAATGATGCCTTTTAAATCTACCAAGAGCATTGCATCGAAATTATCGCAAAATAAATGAGCTGAAGCCTCGTCGAGAATGCTATGTAACCAGGCACAATATTGAATATTGGGCGAAACGACATCATCCCATTCCAGCTCTTACGGAGTCAGTAATCACTGGTCACTGGTCACTGGTCAACGATCATTGATCAGCCCATCCCCAGGTCCCGCCACAGTCGACAGATGGCAGTGCCGCCGTTCTGTTATACGTTCCTCTCTCTCGATGAGATCCACCACTGCGGGTCCGTGTCTCTCTGAATGAAATGTGTCCCGTACATCACACATGGCGAAGGGCTGCCAGCGTGTGAAGAACGTCTGGCAGTGTGAGCACGTGACGATGAAGGAAAGACACCATGCGATCTGGCCGACAGCATTCGCACTGGCAGCGCCACCTACACAAGCAGCTAGCGACTAGAGCGCCACCTACCGCGGTCAGCGACCGCCCCGGCCGCGGCCCCGGCTGTAGCCACCGCGACTCTTGGGCGGCGGCGACTTGGGACGCAGCGCCTCGATCCGCTCCGTGCAGCCTGCCGAGAAAAGAACGGACAACAGTCATACCTAAGCCACAGGGGAATTTTTAATTAATGCGGCACAGCGAAGTGCGCTTAAGAGCAAACGAGATCAGCGAGTATGCGCATGGCGGATTACACGTCATCGAATAGTACAGCCCCTTTCCCTTTCCGTGACAACTGACTAGAAACTCATGACATTCGTAGCCGTTGTAGAGGTTCGGAGGCCATACTATTCCAATAAGTACGTAGAGACCCCATGAGCCGCGGACGCCGCCAGGGACCCTACCGGTGGTGGTGTTTCCGCCGGCGAAGTAGCCGTTGTAGAGGTCCGGGTCGAAGTTGGACGAGGTCAGGCCGGGTCCGACCGTCAGCCAGCCGGGTCGGATGGTCGACTCGCGGCCAAACAGATGCAGTCTGCCGGGCACACAGGGGTACGGAGGGTCACCTAAGGTCATACATACCCGTCATACATGCACTGCCGGGCACACTGAGATTCGTACAAAACCATACACTCCGTGCAGTCGAGCGGTAAACACGCTTTGCGTACGCTCCCATTTGATGCCATAGTAACAGATAAATATTTGCTGTCCAATCAACGTCGCTAAAACGGCAATTACGCTGAACGCTGTGGGTAATTTGTCGTTCAGGGATCCCCCCGATAGTTGAAAGTACCGCATGGAGCTCGGGACTTTGGGATCACCAGCCGGTAAAGTCTGTTTCCAGGGCAGCGAATGGGTGCAGAGGTCAATGGGATAAACAACATCACCACTGGATGACCTCGCATAGGGGTAGGATGGTGGCAAGGCGATAAAATATAACGCGATTAAAGGACGCGTTGAAGGCACCTAACCCAAAATGGCTTCAGCTTTTGCAGTGTTGTGGCTCGAAGGAGGATTTCCAGTGTAAAAAAGGAAGCGAGTTTCTTACCCGCAAAATATCAATTGCCATGTCATGATTGGCTACATCACGCTGGTTACATTCTTTATGTGGCCGTTAAAGGGACCCTCCCACCTTAACATTAGTTTTGAGTTGAGATAGCCAAGTTTGCGGCCAGGCTCAGAAACCACCATTTATCCTGGTCGCAAACCCCCCAGGCTTTATGGTGTTCAAGAAATTTATTCCCTTTACTTGCAGGGTGGGACCAGCGTGGTCCCTATCTCTTAACCATTACGGGAATCTGATGACGTCATCAGGCTTTCGAACGTCCGTTAAATGTTTGACTAAAACGTTTTGTAGCACGCGGTGGTATATGCTGCTTTGCGCGCAACAAATGCCGCACTTTCAAATAAAGTCGCTAGGAACAGCGGAGATCCCAAAAAGTAAACAAAAGTAAAAGTCTAATATCTTGAAAACCGGTGAATATTTTTCGATGAAATTTGGTAGATATTTGTTTTTGCTCTTTCTGAACCGAGCGACATCACTTTCATGCCAATTCATTAACTTTTTTGAAGGTGGGAGGGTCCCTTTAATTACTAGGGACGTCGTGTCAATTCAGATTTAATTGTTCTGATCAGAAATTTAATTGAGTTCAGATCAGCGGGTTGTACTTTCTCCTCCGTCAATTAATGTACATTGTACAAACAATGGGCTGCTCGCTGCCTATTGTCAAGGTCTCAATTGCACGCAAGCTTAATCATTTCAATGACTGGTTGGCAAACTAGTCAATAAGCATTTGATGCTGGATACAACACATGCACATCATACTGGCAAAGATATAAGTGACAGCCTTGGTACTAGGTAGTCGAATTGTCCTAAATCTAGATTAATGACGTTTCTTAGTTCTTATGGGGATGGTCTGCAGCTTGTAAGCAGTTCTCCAAGGAAGAGAAAAACTTTTTGTGCGTGACTAAAGATCAATATTTATTCAACGGACAATCCTGATACACCGCGTTACGGAACTCCCTAGCAATACTCGACCATGCAATACAAGATAGACCCAATGCGATGTTTCGTGCTATTTGTGAGAAGAAAAAATATTATCTTTAAATGCATTTGGTGTATTCTATTAGAATATGAGGGGATATCCTACAAAGCACACCTCACAAATTTAAATACTTTCAACAATATGACAACCTGCTACGAATAATGGTACCCGTGTAATTTAATAACACTCCTTGACAACGTAAGAACAAAGCTCACGATCTACCCATCAGTTTCTATCATCACCAAAAGAACTTACGACTATATCTCATATGTGGCAGATAAAACTCTACCAAGAATGCAACCCAGTAAACTGCGCATTTTCAGCTGACATCCTTATCGTCTAGGCGACCATCTTTTTGATCCAGTCCATGTAGTGGCTGACGTCCGTGTAGACGCCCGGCAGGCCGGGCCGGCCACAGCCGATGCCGGCCGACACGACGCCCACCAGCGTCGAGCGGCCCTCGAGCGGCAGCAGCAGCGGGCCGCCGCTGTCGCCCTGGCACCCGTCTCGGCCGCCCTCCTTGAAGCCGGCGCACAGCTGGCCGGCGTGCAGCCGGTTCTTGCGGCCGGCGGCGGCGAACCAGTCGGTGCACTCTAGCGGCCCCATCACCGGCACGGACACGGTGCGCAGCCGGTCGGCCCGCTCGCCGCCGTCGCGCACCTCGGCCGTCCAGCCCCAGCCGGCCACCGTGGCCGTCCGGTTGAGCACCGCCTCCGTCTGGTCGGAGGCCGGCAGGCAGGCCGGCTGCACGCGGCCGCCCCAGACGGCCGGCTGCGCCAGCCGCAGCACGGCCAGGTCGTGCCGGAACTTGCCCACCCGGTACTCGGGGTGCAGCGCGATCGCCTGCACCGGCAGCCGCTGCTCCTTGCCCTCGTGCTGCGTCAGGTCGTGCTCGCCGGCCACCACGCTGAAGCGGTCGGCCTTCATGTTCTTCAGACAGTGGGCGGCCGTGACGACGAACCACTGGCTGACCAGCGTGCCGCCGCACCACGGCTCGCCGTCCAGCTGCAGCGACACCAGCCACGGAAACTGGCCCGGCCGCGCGCCGCTGCCGCCCACGATCTTGGTGGCCGCCCTCTGTTTGCCGCACGGCACGTCGGCCACGTTGAGCGCCGCCGCGGCCGCCGCCAGCGCCGTCAGGGTCCACAGCAGCAGACGCAGCTGCATCATGATGCCGCTCCAAGGAGGGAGTTCACTGACGGTCAGGTAGAGACTGTGGCAGCTGACTGACCGAGCAGAGGCAGATCTGTTGTGTTGTCCTGTCCTGTCCTGTCCTGTCCTGACCGTATATCTCCCACACTGGACCACACTGGGACCGGAGAGGCAGCTGCTGTTGTGACTCCGCTACACTGGACCGCTCACCGAGCTCTGATGCTACCCCAACAATCCGGACAGATTTATACGGACTGCCCCCGGGCGGTGTGGTCACGTGACCGCAGTATTAGTTGGCGGACAATGTCACGTGCTGGCAGTCGACTATCGTGTGCTGCAGTGAACTCTTTGTGACTGGTAAAGCAGATATGCATTGAGTCGCGGTGAAGGCTACCAGTTCATTGCAGTGTGTATCAAGAGCATCACGGAAACGGGGCAGTTGAAGTTCAACGTCAATGACATGGGGTTAAGGACATTGACCATGGGGAAGGGAATATTCTAAACGTGTGCGCTTTTCTGCTGAATACAGTGACACGCAAAGGATAGGGGAAAGTTCGGGTAACAACTGCATTGAAAATTGAATGTTAACCCTCGCCCGTATTGGTGTTTTTCCAGCCGCGAACGTATAAGGGGGGGGGGGGGTCCGTTGGACCCCCCCCCCTTGCCGTTTCGCCCCTGATCAAGCTAGAGCTTCGCGGAAAAAACGAGCGTGTTGCCCGTGGCGAGAGGAAGCCGATAATACCTAATTTTAAGGTCCTAGGTCATTGGTTGACCTTGCAGGTCAGGTCAATGACCCAAAAGTCGGGAAAATCGGGACCTGTTAGAACGTCGTAAAGTGTGGCTGCTACGAGGTTTTTCGGGGTGCTGATCACGAATATCATGTTAGTTTTGATCACAGATGATGTCTTCATGCATTTAGTCCAGGTCGGGTCAGGTCAGGTCAGGTCAACCAGAAGGGGTCCTGCCGGGTATTCCTAGTAGGTGTCAACCGCCTCTGACAGCTTCGTAACATGTTACGAAGGCACCAAAACTACTTCGTAAATGTTCAAATGGTTGCTAAATTCGAATTCAGCTGCAAAAACTGGCCTAGAAACATGTAAAACTCGAAAAAGTGAACCGAGGTCATCAAAGGTCACTGACCTGACCTGACCTTCAGGTGACCTTGACACCCAACCTAACGCATGGGGCAACATCATATCACATGTTTGAACGCTTGAAACCACGAAAAGACTGCAAACGCGCGGCTAATGCGAGCCGACATACGCCGAATCGCGATTCCGGCCACACATGGTCTCGAAAAGTAGGTCACAGGTCAAAGGTCATTGGGGTCAGGGTCATGAAATTTTCAGAGTGGGTGTAAAATTGATTAACGCGAGGGTACTGAAAGTTTCGTCGCGATCGGCCGCTTTTTACCCGAGTTATTCGCGAAAAACCATGGGGGGGGTCCGTTCGACCCCCCCCCCCTATACGGGCGAGGGTTAAAAAGGAGTAGGTACTTTCAAATAATCACAAGAAATGTGTGGGCTAGACTCAATGGCATGGATTTCACTAGTCCCATATCGCTATTATGCGATGTAATGGGGGACTGCCTCGAACCATATTATCATTTGAAATGACATCATCATTTATAATTCCCGTAAACAGATGAATGCCTCGCACATGATTCAAAAATAGCGGATGAACCAAAGGACACAACGCAAGAACCCTTGCCAATGGTAATGCAACGGCAGTAAAACCCACATTTACCTACGGATTCAATGTCATTCAGAAGCCTATCAGTCCAGAGCTACAATGTCCCAAAATTTGTCGATTTGGGTGGGAAACGACATCCAAATTAAATTCATTTTTCACTCTTACCACCAATATTTAAGAATAATTTCCACTCCCAACCAAGAAAACTTAGGATTTTTTACCAAGAGCATTTGTGTGGATGCCAGGTTTAGCATCAAACATTCTACACCCTAGAATAAAATACATGTTTTTGCTGTTTCTCACTCCTTTTAGATCTAATCGAATCAGCAGTTTTCTACCTCCCCCCATTTTGGTGGGTATTTTTCCCCTCTGACACCCATGACAAAACTCATCAAATTTGGCCTTTGGGACACTGGAGCTACGGAGTTGAAATCGGAGTCAACAGTTGTGCCCGGAGTAGGAGTCGCCAAAATCCTACCGGCTCCAGTCCGGAGTCGGAGTATTACTGCTGCATGCCTCAAAGTCATGCCACTCACCTGTTTGCGAAAACAATATTACATTCGTTGAACGTTCAAAATGAGATTTTGTCCCAGCTAAGGCCATACCCTTAATTTAGAGGAGCGTTTTCATGGAAAAGGACGAAAAC